CACCACATTTATGAGCTATGCCTGGTACCTCGAGGTATGTAGAAAAAACGTTTAAAGCTGTGTCTATGGCTGAATCCCTGATTCTCCAACTCAGCATCGAATCGTCAGATTTGGATTCTACCAAATTGAATTGGGGACAGTAATCTGAATCAACGAATTGAATCACTATCTCCAATTCAAGCTGAATCTGAATCCAAACTGAATACGGCCCATTTCGCACACCCCTACTGGCCAGTGGCACCTGAGCCCCAGCTGCTGTGCACAGAAGTCGACAGATGCTGTAGCTGGAGCAGAGGGAAGAGCACAAAGCCTGGGGTCTCCCCCTCTGCCCCACTGTCTGTATTTGCTGTATGATTCATTGTCATCTCATTCAATAAAAATCTCCATCTTAGCTTGCTGGAATCTACTTCAAATCTCCCTGTAGACAAAAATTCCACATTACAGCCAAGGGGCATCAATTGTACAGGGCAGTTAGACAAGCACTTGGCCCTCATAATGGATGTAATTGCAGCAATTGGTATCTGTTAAACAGAAACCCTGCAAAGCTTCAAAGACCGCTCTCTCTGTCTCACACACCTCCCCACCATAGAGAGCTCCTCAGTTCACTCTCATATGTGAGGATGGTCTCCGATCTGTTTTACACCTCTGTAAAGGTGAAACAACTTTCTGGAAAACGGTGGAATTATTTCAAGTTGGTACTCACAGTACTGAGATCAGAAACTAACTGGAAACCTGTAAGAGGAAAGGAAAAATCCCTATCTTTTTTAAATTCAACAAAAGGATCCTGGAGGCCCTGACTGATCAAAGCACATATCTCTTATTTTACTTGACGCATAGGCTCTCTTTAAGAACATTAGAGGCAGAAAGTCCATCAGAGACTTAGCTGGGCTACTGGATAATGAGGGTAAAAGAAATGTTTAAAGAGGCCATTGTTGAGAAGTGGAAGTTATGCACAGATGTAGCATGTGTCACAGGAGAAAGTCTCTAGTTCTGGGATTGTACAGATGTACATGTCTGCTGTCCTGCTTCAGGTCCCTCTGCAGTAGGCAGGTAAAATGTACTAACACTTTTTTCCCCAGGATATCCTATTGTACAGCTGTACGATTATGACGGTTCATTCCAGTCTGTTGAGCTGTGTGCTCTTGCTGGCCACCTACTACTGAAAAGGCAGCAATGCATCTTGGAAAGGTTACATGTGCATACGACTGTGCAGCTCCTGTTTTGATCCAAGTCAAACCTCTGGGTAATCAGTCCCGAGTCAGAACGACACATCTATATACAGCCTAAATGAGTTCCTTGTGTCAGCCTTTACTGGGGAAGATGGTGGGGAGATTCTCTCACCAGAGCCCAGGGGACAGGTCAGTAGAATTGATTCACATTGAAGTATCAGTAGATGACGTTTTAGAAGACATTAATAAACTAAGCAGGAAGAAGTCACTAGGACCTGATGGTATTTACTTTAGAGTCCTGAAGCTCAAATCCGAAATAGCTGATCTACTTACTGAATATGCAACCTACCACTAAAAACAGCTTTGGTACCAGAGGACAGGAGAGTTGCCAACGTAACTTCAATTTTTAAAAAAGGGCTCCAGAGGGACTCCAGGAAATACGTCTAGCTTCTGTTCCTGGCAGAATGGTAGAAGCAATAGTTAGAAAAGATTGTTCAGCATATGGACAAGCAGGCCTTGCCAGGGAGAAATCAGCCTGGGTTCTGTAAAGGGAGGTTATACTTTACCAATGTGCTAGAGTTCTCTGAGTGTTTCAACAAGAATGTGGATCAAGGAAATCCAGTAGTCCAGTTGATATACTATATCTGAACTTCCAAAAAACCTTCAAAGTCCTACAAAGGCTCTTAAAAGTAGGTTGACATATTAGAGGGAATGTCCACTTGTGGATCTGAAAGGAATAAATGGTCAATTTTCAGAATGAAAAGTAAACAATGGGGCCCTGCAGGGATCTGTGTTGGGACAAGTGCTGTTTAAAATATTTGTAAAATGACCTGGAAAAGGGGATCAGTAGTAAGATGGCCAAGTTTGCCAGTGACATAAAATTATTCAGAATGGTAAAAGCCAAAGTGGACTGTGAAGAACTACAGACATTTGTCATAAAATTGAGCAAATGGACAACAAGAGGGCAAATGAAGTTCAATGTTGATAAGTGCAAAGTGATGCACGTGGGATAAAATAACCCAAAATATACATGCGTCATGATGGGCTCTACATTAACTGTTACCACACAGGAGTGAGATCTTGGTGTCATTGAAATTCTAGTATTGCTAAAAACACTAGCTCAGTGTCCAGCAGCAGTCAAAGAGACAAATGAAATGTTCAGAGTTATTAAAAAGAGAATTGTAAACAAACCAAAAAGTATTATTATGCCCCTTAGTAAATCTATGGTGTGTCCTCACTTTGAATACTATGCAGTTTTGGTTTGTATGCCTTGAGGGATATAGAAGAATCGGAAAAGCTATAAAGAAGGGCAACAAGGATGATCAGAGTAGGGGCTTTTATATGAGGACAGACTAAATAGGTTGGGACTTCCCAGCTTGGAAAAGAGGTGCTTGAGGAAGGACATGACAGAGGTTTACAAAATATTAAATGGTGCAGAGAAAAAATAGCAGAGGCATAATGAACTCCTTTAGCACCTGGGGCAGGAGGAAGGGATTATTCAGATCAGTTGCAGACCAGCTACAGCAATGCACTCCCTAGGAGCCACCCCTAGTGCCCTGTTTACTGCTCCTCCCTGCCCAGATATACTACAGAGGGCAGGGCTGCACCTGCCATGGCAAAGGCTCCCTAGGGTATAAGGGGGAACACCAGTGCACTAACTCCTTACCCTCCAAGATACACTACTGGGTGAGGGGCTGTCCCTGCTGGTCTCCTGTGGGGGCAATCTCTGCTGCTCTGGCAAAAATTCCTGGGGTGCAAGGCAAATCTGGCACCCCATCTAAGATAGTCCCTTGGATTGATGCCCCAGGCATCTGCCCCAAGTTACGATACTGGTAAGTAGGGATTTGTTATTTATTACCATTCACAACATTAAAACTAGGGAACATATAGGAAACTATTAGATAGTAGATTTAAAGCTAACAAAAAGCAGCTCTTTTTCAGAGAGCATATCATTAACTTGTGGAACTGGTTGCCACAGGATGATGCAGCAGCTTGTACCTTAACCCAGTTCAGAAGAGGATTAGATCAATTCTCGGAGGAAGTATCCACGCATAGGTATTGAGCATGGTAGACAGCCATGCAGCCTCTGAATAAGCGCTCCCTAAGCCTCTCAGCATGACGGCAGCTGCAATGGGAGAGCAGCAGTGAGGGGAAACTTCTCACTGTGCCCTGTTCTGCCACTCCTTCAGGATCCACTCTCTGCCACAGTGTGACAGGATACTTGGCTACGCCAGTAAATGGCACTTATGTGCTTCTTAACGTTTTTCAACAGATCGTTTTCTTTTTTGTTAATACAGAAACAAGATATATACATTTTAAGCCTGCTTTGCACTCAAGGGAGCGTACAAGTGAGTATCATCTCTAAAAATTCTGCTATATTAGTTATTATTAGGGCTGCATGAGGCTTCAGACCCAGAGAAGCTTGGAATGCATCAGGGTCCAAGCAGCACATCCGAGTCAAAGCGCTGCCTCGTTCAGCTTCCCAGAGCGCTTTGGAGCCGCCTCAGAGATCCGGCCATAGGGTGTAATGGGGAAACAAACTATCAATAACTTTATTGGTTTTTGTCTGTTTTGGATGACATTTTCAGGTGTGGTAGACTCGGCAAAGAGGATGAAGCCTGCCAAGTTCCAATAAGATCTGTGTAGGGGTTTTGGGAGGAACCAGAACCCCAATTTATTGAAAGCAAAACTCCTGTCATGTCTATGTTTTAGAACATAGCAGGGTGAAAACTGCAGGGCTGGTAGCTCTTACTAAGGCCACAAAGCCTGCCATGTTTCAAGAAGATCAGTGCAGGGGTTTGAGGGGAACTGCCCCTCAAGGTGTGGACAAGCAAAACCGGTGCCATGGGTGCTTGTAGGACTGACTGTGTCTGTCTTGGGGCGGGCAGGGGAGACACTACTGCAGGCCTGATTGCTAAGCTACTGTGTTACCGGTTATCAATAGATCAATCATGATTCACTTGGGGACCAGGGATTTGGGGCCCAGCTCAGTACATAGGACCTAGCTACTACATAGTGACTTAACAAGCATCAATTAGCACCTACAAAACCAGGCTAAGGAGAGGAAAGAATCAATACAGACAATCAACTGCCAAGACCCGCAGTCTTGGCACGAGTTTTGTTTGTCAGCAACCAGGGGTGCTAGGCCCCAGACCCCCCCCCCCATCTCCTCCACAGCTGGCAGGTGTTACAGCAGGGGCCACCATCCCTGCAGCTGTCACCCTGCTGCGCCTGAACATGCAGTGTCACCCATGGCAGGAGTTTTGCTTGTCTGCAGCTTGAGGTGTGGTTCCCCCCAAACCCCTGCACCGATCTTCTTGAAACTTGGCAGGCTTTGTGGCCTCAGTTACCAGCCCTGCAGTTTTGACCCCCCTGTGTTGTAACACACAGACGTGACATGAGTTTGGCTTTCAATAATTTGGGGTACGGCTCCCCCCCAAGCCCCTGTACCAATATTCTTGAAACTTGGCAGGTTTCATGCTCTCAGCAGAGGCTACCATCTCTGCAAGTTTCATCCAACAAAAAGTTATAGATATTTAATTGATTCCCCATCATACCCTATGGCTGGATCTCCAAGGCAGCTCTGAAGCTTAAGAGCCGCTTTGGCCAGATCAAGGTGGAAACCCAGTTTGGAGCTCCGGATCGGATCGCAGCCATCCAAAGCGGCCAGATCTGAAGCCGGACTGGATTGCTGCCAACTCTCACAAGCCTAGTTATTATTAGATAGTAGTAAGCAACACTGAATGCTGGCATTAAGTTTCTTCTTAATTGACAATCCTTCACAAGGGTTGTGGGTTTCTCATACTTAAAGCATTTACTTGTGGATGGTCTGGGATTTCTTCTTTCCATGACAAGATCTCATAGCCATCATCCAAATCCAAACCCACTCCATGATTTAGCCTAAAATTCTAGCACTCAGCTAATTCATCCTCAAGCCATGTCCTCAGTTTATAAATCAGCCAGTTTGTACCAACCCCTAATGATCTTATTGTGATACTTTCTCTCCCTGCTCTCCTCAAGGTTTATTCTCTGGAGGTTAGAGTGACCGTTGTCAACTTGAACGATAACAGCCCAGTATTTAAGCAACCAGATTTCACTGTAAATGTTCCTGAGGTAAGAACTTTACAGAAGCCTTTGTGAATAAAGGGAAGATTCTGAATCAGAGGCCTTGCACTCTGATCTTGGCGGAAGGAAAGATTTACAACCATGCTCTCTGGAGACCAATTCTAAAAAACTGCAAGAAAAACACTGCACAAAACTTGATCTTTTCCTAGAGATTTTTACAGGTAGTGCAGACAATCCTTCCCTTGACCCTTCAGGAGAGACTGGCTGATTGATATGGCCTCTGTGGTCACAGACATTTGGGACCTGACATTCAGAGGCAGTGAGTCCTTTGCAGCTTTTACTAATGACTTCAGCTGTTAGCAGTGCTGCTCATTTCTGAAAGCCTGGTAACCATAATGAAAAAAAAAAACCACACACACAGAGAGCAAAGCACACTCAACCCTAGCACATCTCACATTTCCAGCTCTCCAGGTCTTGTCTGTATAACCCACCAGTCAGTACCTATTACAGATTCCCCCTGTGACAGGAGGCCGTCCTGAAGCTGACTTCTGCATCAGCCTACCCACCTGTCTTGGGCAGTCTGCCTGCCCATGTCATCTGCCATGCCTTGTTAGTAAATAATTAGGTTGTTCATTAAGCAGGAGGCTCCCCTTAATGTGCCCAGCTATACTGCACTGTACATACATGCTCCAACCTCCCCTACACGTCCCATGCCTCACAGGTGTTACTACTGTCATCAACTCTATATGCCTCTGGCATTAAGCCTCTCTGTGCAACACGCAGGCACCGAGTTCTGTAGTGACTGGCTTTCTGTACCTTTCTCTCAGATGCCTGACTCAGTGCCTCTCCCCCAGGCACCTGGTTCTACACCCCCCTGGCACTATGGGCTCACTGCAGCCCTCTGGCTGCACCCCCATGGTGCTATGGGTGCTGTGCCTGACAGCAGACTATACCAAATCATATGTCCTCTCTCTCCAGGCACTAATGAGGCCTCCAAACCTCCCCTTCTAGCCTCATCCCAATCCTCCAGGGTAAACATGAACACAAACAACACAAGCCCCTACGCTATAGCTTAAATAATAACAGTGCTATGCCTCTTTAAGGGGACAAACTTCCACTCAGAGTAACATGTACCTATTTTAGTACCCAGGAGACTCACTGTAGTTAGGTAGCACCTAGATAGCAGAGCAGTCAGTACTGGGAGAGCTAAGCAGATAGCACCAGGTCTCAAGCAGCCTCAGTGGACAGGAGCTCCTTCTCCATTAGTTGCCAGAGAGAGCACATACATCTGCTAGCTACAGCCTGGGCTTATATATCCCAGAACCCTGCCTCCTGCCGGTCAGGTGCGGCCAAGTACTCCCTTAGGTTGTTACTCCGACAACCTGCAGCTGGGGAGCTCTGTTTGGCCTGCAGAGCACTCTGGCCAGGCTTCTTCAGCCTTAAGGAGCAGGCACATCTTACTGTCCCGCTACACCAACTCTGTGCTAATGATATGGTACAAGCCTGTAACAGTAGCTAGGAAACCTGGGCTTTAGCTTAAGCTTCTAGTTCTGGTTCAGTCCTTAGTATATCAGTCAAGATGATGGCCATCCCTGTTACACTAGGGGATTTTAGCAATGCAGTTCTTATTGGGGCCATCACAGTTCAGCAACACTAGTCCTGATGGGAGTCCTAGAATAGATGAGGGTCTCATAGCATCCAGCATTAAACATGGTCGGGGGGGGTAGCATAGAAAGCACTGGGCGAAATAGTATAATGAAATACAAAACATACTAATAAGGATTCATTATCTACTATATAACTACTGCTATGAGTGGGGAAAACCAAGCAAATATGAAAATTTCTTTTCAGGATACAAGAGTGAGTTCCGTTGTTCTATCCACGGACGGAGTAAGCGCTACTGACCTTGACCAGGACACCATATATTATGAACTTAGAGGGACTACTCCAGTGAGTATATTTGTTCGCCAATCTTGTAAAAAAAGTGCAAGGACTTCTTTGTTTCTCATTCATGCAGGGCTCATGTACATGTTCATTAATATGCCATAGTTCCTGTGCATTAAGTTTAGTACTTGAATAATCAAGTACTAAATGTGCAGTAACTCGTGCTACTGCATAGTAGTGCCGGCACATGGGTTTTTTGTGATGCTTGTGGTGCAGTAACCTAATGACACTGCGCAGTAGTGTATTAGCACAGGTTTTGCCTGGCACGCTACTGCACAGTGGTATTAGTCTACTGCACAGCAAGCATCTCATGGAGATGCACCCACAGACACTAACCCTGAGACAGACAACCTGCCCAAAGTAACATCACATCTATCTGATAGGGCTGTGCAAAGCTTCAGTCCCTGATTTGAGTTGGTGGATATTCGGCCCAATTCAGTGGCTGAATCTCCGAATCTGAATCGAATCAGAGGACCCTTTAATCTATCCAAATCAAATCGGAACGCTCCGAATCAATTTGGAGAGATTCGGAAAGATTCAGAGATTTAGACATAGAGACAGCTTTAAATGTTTTTTCAACATACCTCTAGGTAGCAGGGGCTCATGACTGCTGCAATGCTGGGGCACATGGAGTGTCCCACAGAAGCACAGGGGGCTCTCCAGCGTGCTTGGCAGCAGACCCAGAAGTGGACCAGAAGCACTTTCAGTTGACTTTCAGGTTCACCAGGGAGCACAGTGGGGGGGCCCCCTGCACCTCCCTGGCTTGGTGACTGGTGCCTCCTGGGTCTGAGGGGGCACCCAGAGTCCCCCTGCTGCCAATCACTGAGTCTGGGAGGTGCGGGGGAGAGGGCCCCCAGTGCACTCCCAGGAAGACCTGGAAGTGGACCACAAGTACTTCCAGTCCACTTCTGGGCTTGCCACCGAACATGTGGAGAATAACCCAAAAATAGACAAGGCCCCTGCCTGTGCCTCCCATATAAAGACCGACCAGGGCCTGTACAGAAGTTACACTTACTACATATTAAGCACAGCTGTAACAGAACAGGCATTCGAAGCACATAAAGCACTTTTAAAATGGTGGATCCCTCTCTAAGGGTGCTTACACAAGTTACTTTTTTTTTTTTCAATCGGGCCCCTGAAAGCACTCTACAGCTGCAGCAAAATACACATGCAAGGCTGCAGAGCACTTTTAAAATGGTCGAACATGTGAAAACTTAACCCTCGTCAAATCAGCTATTAGCTAAAAATGCTATAGAGCAGAACACTTTAGGGAACTTGTGTTCCCTCAAAGTTAATTTTTTTGCAGGTCTAGGCACCAGACCAGGCCCACCCCTCAAGCTGTCAGCAGGGGAGGGAGGGGGAAGGTGATGGGGAGGGAGAGGGAGCAGCAGCCAGGTGCCAGCTGGGCTTTGCCAGCCCAGAGGGTGGTACAGGGTGGAATAGAGCCCCCTTGCCTCTAGAGTCCCCAGCCCAGCCACCGCGGTTGGGGTATTGGGAGGATCCAGGCTGAGCCTGTGAGGATAGGGGGCTCCGTTCAACCCCAACTTCACCTTTTGCAGCCAAGCCAGGCCCACAAGGCAAGGGGGTCCTTTCCACCTCACCCCACCTCTGCCTCTTGACAGCTGCAGCCAGGAGCTGCAGCTTGGAGCTGTGCATGGCATTTTGCTGCACCAGGAACTGGTGGTGGGGGAACAGAGCTCCTTGCTGCATGGACCTGGCCTGCCCCCACCCAAAACCCACCCCAGAAAGTTGAGGGGAGGGGGGACCTTGCAGCACAGGGGCTATGTTCCCCAGCTGCTATTGACCATCAGCACCCGATGGGGGCAGGGCTGGGGAAAGGGCCACTCCAGCAGCCTCCTGGGGGAAGTGTGAAAGCAGCCCCAGGCTGCTGACCTTGGCCAGTGTGGGCAGGCTTTGATCCCCCCACCTAATGGTGAACCTCTGTTTGGTTCACTTCCACTCTAATTAATAGCACTTTACGTAAAGTGCAATAGAGCACTGCTGCTTGGAGTTTTTTGAATGTCTGTACTTAGCTTCAGTCTCAGGGACCAAGGTTGGCTGATACATTAAGCCAGTGATTCTCAATCACGGTGCCATGGAACCTTTGGGCATAGCATGGGATGCCACAAAATATTAGCACTGTTAGGTGCGCAAACATCTACATGATTCAAAGATAAACCCAGACATTTCAAATAGGAAATCAGAGTGTTGTGGTCTTTCTGAGTTCTCTGTAACAGAAAAATTGCTTAGTATTTTTCTGTAGTCAAAATGCAAGGGAAAGCTAACAGTCAGCATTTTCTGAGGGATACTTTGAGTCTGAAAAGGTTGAGAGCCATGAAGTTAAGCAGCACATTAAGCACTACTCTGAAATGCTGCTCACTCCTGTGTAACGGAGACAATTATCAGCCTTTTATTCCTTGTTTTTTTTTCCAGGAAGCAACTGAGTTTTTTAACATCCAAGGAGTTAACAACCCAGCCATCTATTTGCGCAAAGCATTGGACTATGACAAAAATAAATTTATGCAGTTAGTCTTGCTTGCAAGGGTAAGTTCTTTAAGCAAGAAAAATCCTCACATTTCCTGCAGCAGCTGCAGCTGGCTACATCTTCCATTCAGCAATATCTGCTGTCATTGTCCGTCTGTCATGGGATAATGGGCTGGGACTTCTGCTGACACAGGCAGATTTCAGTAGATTTACACTATTGTAGTAACAATGCTATACTTCAGCTAAGGATCTGGGCTGCCTGATTTTGCCTTGTGGGGTGGGGGAGTCCCATGTTGGAAAAATGCCTTGCTGCTAACAGGAACATTCTTCCTTTCTTTTGTGTACAGGACAGGGCTCCTGGCATTGCAGATACTAATACAGCCAATGCAACAATCAACATAAATATCCAACAGGCTGACACTAAATCTCCCTGGTTTCTGCCATGTAAACCCGTGGCTATGAGCAGTAAAGTTTGTTTAAACACTGGTTACACTGGAAGAATCAACATCTCAGAGCAAACGGTATGCCACTTACACAGGAGCTTCTGCTTTCTGCCTGTATGCTGGGACTGGCCTTCAGCCCTGGAAACATGTTTAAAGCCAAGTTAAAGAACAGGCCTTGGGAACATTTCTCATGATGATAGAACCTAAGCTTTAAGTGAACCCTCTAGCCTTAGAGGTTTCCTAGGAAAGCTTGAAATCTGAACCTACTGCAGATCAAAGCCACAACAGCTCCCTGAGCCTGCAGGCAATGTTCAGCCGACTGATGAAAAGCCATAGAGAAAAGGAGAAAGCCAATCTGTCTCATGTCTATCATCAGAGCAGGTCAGGCCCACTGTTTAGTGGAGGTAACTTGTCATGATATGGAGGGCCCCCAGCCACCATTACCACCCCTCTTCCCTCCCATCCAAGTTCACCTTCTGCTGAGGTGTGAGCCCTAGGGACAGCTCAGGTCAGAGAAAACCTGGGGGATTGAATTGTTTTACTTAATCCAGCCCTGGATATGGTGACCCTTCTTTGAAAAGCTGTTTTTCACCTGAGGGCAGATGCTTTCCCACACATCATGGATGTGGTCTGCACACAACAAGGTCATCACTGCACTGCACCAGCGCTGTTTAAGTTTGTAATGTGGTATTGCCATAAGAAAAGGAGAGAAGTGTGTTAAGCACAGTGGTTCTGCATTCCACAAAAAGTGATCCAGAACCCTTTGGAAATGCAAGATCAGAACTGCAAGCTCTGCTTTCTCCTGGCCACCAGGATGCATCATCTGACTTTGAGACCAGATACTTTGTGGCATTTGTCCATTTCTAGTCTGTGGTCTTTGCAGACTTCATCTTCCCCCCAAGATGGAAACCCTAAGTAAAAGGGTATAAGGAAAATATTGTTGTCAAAGACAACCATTGCAGGCTTCCCTGTTCAGCAGACAGAATATATGCATCAGCTTTTTGAACAAGGAAGGTAGGACTGGACTGGTGTAGCTGAACAGGAAATTCCCCCCTAGGGTGGATGCCTAATACAACCTCTACTGCTCAATCACAAACAGGCTTTTGACTTCCGTTATAGATGAGGATGTTGCTCTGGGTGTTGAGTTAACATCAGCCCACTGAGACCAGCAATTCACAACAAAGCATTGTGTTGCTTTTCTTTGCTTCTGAAAAATGCCTAGAGCAAGGAAGAAGCTGTACAAAACCGAATCCTGTTCTCTGTTATCTCTGTTCTCTTATGATCAACTCATAGCACTAAATTTCAGCCTAAAAGATCTAGTATCCAAAGCTCTAGAAGAATTGTAGTGTTGTCATAACCAGGATGGACCAAGGAATATGCAAGAATCAAGGATTTTGTTATCTCTTTTGTTTGACCAACTACATAGCGGGGAGAGATGTCAACTTTCTTCCCAGCTTCTTTCCTAGACTAGACGAGAGGCGTTTTGTGTCTGAAAGCTTGTTTAATGTCTCCCCTCCCAACTATATAGGTGCTCCAATAAAAGTCATTGCTAAATAAATCTTGCTTCTTTCAGTTGTCCAAAGTACCATTTGGATATGAAAGTTCTGCAAGCATTTGGCATTTGGGTTTTTTTAATGCAAGAGGCAAGGATTTCTTAGTGATATATTTTATTGGACCAGCTGCATAGTTGGGATACAGTTAGACAGACTCAAATGCAAGATATTCTTCATTAGATCACTGATGTTATTGCAGATGGAACCTCTGAACCTGAAACCTGGACCTCTCTATGCTATCGATCCTGACTATAGCTTGAATGAAAAAATAGTGTACAGCATTATTGAAGGTGAGTAGAAGTTCCTGCCTTTACAAACATTCACTTCCATTGCTCATCTTTTCAAAGCTTCCATATTTTATTTACCATCACAAGTAATAGAGAGCCATGACAATCCACCTCTATGTAAACAAAATTACTGCAATTGTTGTTATGTCATGAGGAGCCAACTGAGCTCATTACCCACATTGCTCTAGGAGTTACACAGACACAGAGGAGGAACCTTAAAATGCTTATGGTCCAAGTAGACAAGACAGACAACAGAGAGGAAGAGAAAGAGAAATAACTTCCTACAAACAGAAGTTATTGCAGTCTCTGTTGGAGATCCTGGTCTCTCAGATAAGACATATTTAGGATTGAACGAAAGGGGCCAACTTTTTCCATTCTAGTCACATCGATTCCATCCACCATTAGATCTGTGTGAGCCAAAAAAATTGAGACAATCATCATTTTCATTTATAGTCAAGAATTTCATTTCTGCACCATTCTGGGATTTAAAGATTCCCTACACTGGACTTGATTTCAAGGATGAGACTTGAATATAATCACCTGATTTATGTCATCAAATAGGGCATTTTTTTGGTCAAAGTTTTTAAAAAAAGAAAGATCAGTTGATTGACAGTTACAATTAATGAGCTGACAGTTCAGGCAGATGGGACAGATTGTTAGTTCTCTAGTCATCTTTACTTCTGAAGGTCACTGAAATATTTTCAATAAAGGAAGGAGGAAACACTGAACAATGCAACTGAGTGGAGTATGAATACGCTTTAATTCCTTTCTGTAGGTAGAAGAATGGCCGCGTGGTTAAAGTGCTAGATTGGGCACTCAAAGGCCTGTGTTCTATTCCTGGCTCAGTTCCATATACTTCCTTTACTGTCCTAGGCATGGCACTTAATCTCTGTACCTCTATTCCCCATCTTCAAAATGAGAATAAGTTTTCTTTGACTATTTCTTTTTAGATTACGAATTCTTAGAGGCAGGGTCTGGGTCTTACTAGGCATGAGAGCAAAGCCTTTCACCATGGGGCTCAGAAGTCACTTGGAGATTCTAGGTACAATAAATAAGAAATGTTACTCTGTGACTTCTGACAATTGCGTCTTCTTCATTCAGACCATGGTTTCGAAATTTCAAACATCCTGCAAGTTCTAAAGTGGTACGGCTCAAAAATATTGCTACCTTTATAGATTCTAAAAGTATTGGCACCTAGTAACAAAACCCAAGCAGGATATACCTAACCTGAGCACTGTAAGAAGGATTTTGAACATGTGGAAGTTTCTCCTCGGAAAGATTCCTGTATTCTTGAGGTGCTGGCCATTCAGAATTTACTTTGGTAGTTATATGATGCAGTTACAGGGAGGAGGCTTAGCACTGAGCAATTCTTTTAGGCTAATGACTAGAGACTGAAACTGAACAAGAAGCACTTAGAGTTAAACACTCCTAACAGCATCTAGGTCTGTGATTCAGTAAGAACAGGCTATGCTGGCATAAATATATTAGACTTAATTATGGCTGCTTTTGGAAAGGATGCACTATTGTAAAGAATAATGCATATTGCTAATAGCAGTGAAGCATGTATGTAGCATACTTCTTTCAGGTTGACTGAGCTACCTAATGCAGTTGAACAGGTTACAGCTAAAATAAACACATTCCTTGCCTGTTCAAGACAGGTATTTGGGTAAGAAAAGCTATCCTTGCTTTCGGAACTTGCAAATGCACTTCTTTACAAGTGGAGTGTCAAGGGTTTGGAACAGGCTCCCCCCAGAAGACATACAGTCAACTGTCCACCCTGGCGATCTTCAAAAAATGTCTTGACTCCCATATTGCTGGGAACATTTAATCCTAGCCATCTTTCCTGCCCACGTGCAGGGGGTCTGGACCCAGTGATCTGTAAGGTCCCTTCCAGCCCGTAACAACTATGAAACTTCCTCTAGTCAGGCTCACAGGCATCTTTCTGCTGTTCTCAGGATACTGGGTTTTTTTGTAGAGTTAGTACTACCTCCATAGACTACACATCCAGTCTTCAAAGCTGACAGCCAGACAAGGTCAACAACAATACTGCATGAGGCATAATATTTCTCATGTGCAAAAACACGAGTCACACCAAAAGCTCAAGATATCTTATTAAATGCATTTTATAAACAATTCTAGTCCTAACTAGTCTTCCCATTTCTTTAGGAAACACGGATGATGTATTCTTATTGAATTCTGATACGGGGAACCTAACTATGAACAAAGCAGTGAATACATCAGAAACATTTATTTTGCACGTCATGGTGAGTCTCCTGACATCACAGAACCCTAAGGCTTAGTTCCAGCATTCCTGGCCTTGTAGAAGATAACAAGCTCAATAGGTGAAGAATAAAGGAAACTGTGGCATTAGACTTGGCTCACAAACCTCAGTAAAAACCACACATATTTCTCTTGAGATGCCCAAACATGACATACCCCTGGAAGCTGGGACTAGTTTTGCAGTGCTCCACAAGCACAATTCCTGCTACAAGCGGGGAATTTTGACCTGTCTTAAGATAGCTGACTTGTGTCATCAGATAAGGATTTCTTGAGAAGCTAAATTGAAGTACCACCTATTTGTATTTTAATCTATTTGAAAGTGGTACTAAAAATGGTCAGAGATCTATCCTCTGTTATCGCTAAACTAATGATGTTGGATGCCAGGGAGGATAATGGACAGGGGATAGATCACTATAGATATACCCTGTTCAATGTATGCCCTCTAAAGCTGTGGTGTCA